ATTCAAAAACAAAGAACTGTAGATACATGAAAATTTCACTGAATGTTTATATTAGCATTTCCTATACACAATATAATTTTGAAAACATTTTGACTATTTTTGAGCTGTTTACGGACATTTTCAGTTTTCAGTTTTCAATTTTTTTAGTCTATTTTTCTATAAATATCCATTAAGTTTTATCTGTTGGGCCAAAAGTGTAAAAATTTAATACAAGGCTAATGATTTATTGTTAACACATCAGTTGAAAAATATTAAAAATACATAGGCACAATTTTTTTTTATAAGCATTTAAAGATTTAAAATTGAATAATTATTTTGTAGTTAAAAATTTATAAAATATTCAACTTTTATATCTAAGGATTGAAAATTTATAAAAAGAACAGTGTAACACAAGACGCGCACAAGACTACAACGGTCACTAAATGTCGATTATTTGAACACTGCAGTCTGCAGAACATAGTGATCAATATTTAAGATCAAGAATTATGATCGATAAGACTTGTAGGTACTTACTTTTATTGTATGTAGCCATGTAGGTCCTAGTACCTACATGTAATAAAATGTATCATTTTTCATAAACCTTTTATAGATTATATTGATTAATATATAAAAACCTTTGTCCGTTGCGATAATACGCGATTTCCGCTGGAATAAATATAGCTGTGTACCTATAATATTATGTTATAGATAGGTACAGTTGAACAGTTTAAAGTTCAACTTATATGTTCATTGTTCGTGTATTATTCTACTTCAACTTATTTTGTTACGAGTTAACTACAAATTACAGTAAGTTATAGTGTGTACCTACTAATGAAATAAAATATATTTTAACATAAATGTAAACATAAGCCTTTTACATGTTGTTATTACTGTATAATGTAAAAAATTCGGCTGAATCAATATGTAAAAAAGTTTGGCGGAGTTGATACGCGGCGCAATCAATAGATTTTTTACAGGTAAAAAGGCAATCGAAATACGCCCAAAATTCAAATTAACACCAGTAGATTTTAACCAGCTCCTGATATATTGTTACAATATCAGTTGAAAAATATAAAAAATACATAAGCACAATTTTTTTTTTGTAAGCATTTAAAGATCGAATTTTGACAAAATTTATCAAGTTTAAAATTAAATAATTATTTTGTATTTAAAAATGTATAAAATGTTCAACCTTTATATCTAAGGTTTGAACATCTTCATAAAATAATTTTAATTTAATATTATAATTCTGTTACCAAAAAATTCAAAAAAAAAACAAGCACAGTTTATTTTTATAGTCATTTGAGATTAAAATTTGAATGAAATTACATAATAAAAAAAGGTGCTCTGCTGTACAGTAGGTTACAAGTGGGTTAGTGGTTACTGTATAATGGATGGTATTAAATTTAAATTCAATGATATAATATCATTGTATAAGAAAAACGATTCTGAGAGGAGACGGTATGTCAGTCTAGGTAAAAGACATACCTATTATATACTTATCTATGGTATTAAAAAAAATTGAATTATAATAGGTACCTATAATACATTCCAAATTAATCATATCACAATATCCATTAGGTACTTATAACGCATTATACATCAACAACAAGCCCTGATATTATCATAGATAGGTATATAAGAATGTACTTTCGAAGTTTCAAGTACCCACGAGTAATATTATACAATCACAACAAAATAACTAAAATAGTTATTATAGGTTTTTTAAGTAATTTCGTCCTATATATTTATAGAAAAAAAAACTAAAAAACATTGAAAGCTGTAAATGTCCGTTAACAGCTCAAAAAGAGTCAAAATATTTTCAAAATTGTATGGTGTATAGGAAATGCTAATATAAACATTCAGTGAAATGTTCATGTATCTACAGTTATTCGTTTTTGAATTACAACAAAATAAGGAAATCACTACATGAGAAATCCAGTGAATATCTAATGTTGTAAAAATTTTAATTTGACTTTCTTATAGAGATTTTTTTTTTGATAAAGGTAGATAATCTTATAAGGAATCTTGTATTACATTTTCATATCTTAGATTTAAAAGAAAAATTTTTACGAATTCTTAACTCAAAATAATTTGATAATTTTATTGATTTTTCCATATTTTGTCAATTTTTGAACTTTAAATGCTTATAAAAAAAATTGTGACTAAGGATTTTTAATATTTTTCATCTGCCTTTGAAACAATATCTAGGAGCCTTCTATTAAATTTTCAAGCTTTCGCAACCAACAAATAAAATTCCATTGATATTTGTAGAAAAAAAACTAAAAACAAACGAAAAATGAAAATGTCCCTAAACAGTTCAAAATAAATTAAAATATTTTGAAAATGTTATAGTGTATAGAAAATGCTAATATAAACAACCAGTGAATATTTCATGTATATTCGTTCATTTGTTTTAGACTTACACCAAAAACCAAAATCGTTTTTTTTTGGAATACCGATTTTGCGTAAAAATTTCCGTTTTTCCTTAATTTTTATGTTGTTTTTCCCGGCGCTTGTGAAAACTACTAGGACATTTTTACTTTTGACCCCCCAAAGTACCAACCAGATTCACTTTCCTATCAGAAGAGATACTGTTGAAAAAAAAAAATCCAAGCACTTTTACTGTCCTAAAAGGTGATGACAGATCCAAAAAAAAAATTAAATAAATAAAAAAAAAAACCCACATCATTGTAAAATCAATACATTCATCGTTCCACTCAGAATCTAAAACCTAGAATAACTATTTTAGTTATTTTATTGTGATTGTATAATATTATTCGTGGGTGCTTGAAACTTCTAAAGTGTACTATAATATGTCTATGATAGTATCTCGATTCTCGGTTTGTTGTTGATGTATAACGCGTTATAAGTACCTAATGGATATTGTGATATGATCAATTTGGAATTTATTATAGGTACCTATTATAATTCAGTTTTTTTTTTAATACCATAGATATGTATATAATGTCTTATACCTAGACTGACATACCGTTTCCGCTCAGAATCGTTTTTCTTATACATTGATTTTATATCATTGAATTCAAATTTAATACCGTCCATTATACCGTGACCCCCTTGTACCCGACTGTACAGCAGAGCACCTTTTTTTATTATGTAATTTCATTCAAATTTGAATTTGAAATAACTACTGGTTGTGCAAAAATATAAACTTACTCCACCATCTTTGAAACACCGAATTTACGCCACTGTTTAACCCCCTAAGTACCAGCTAGATTCACTTTTCTTCAGAAAAGATACTGTTAAAGAAAATCCAAGCATTTCCACAGTCCTTAAGGGTGATGACAGCACAAATAATATTTTTAAATTAAAAAAAAATCACACATCATTGTAAAATCAATACGTTCCTCGCTCCTCTCAGAATCTAAAATGGAATAATGAAAAAATGTTTGTATCGCTACAGGACACGGGTTATAAATGGTATTAAAAATCGAAATAATTGAAAATGGAACTATAGGTTCCTACCTAGGTTACTACATACTTTCTTAAAAATAAAAATGTTAATAAAATGATTTATTATATAAACCTGCTTGTATTTTTTTTTCCTTAAATATTTTTTACTCCATTAGTAAAAACAATTTAATTTTATATTAATTATATAACCATAAACATTCAATTTTATATGCCTACCTAACTAGGTACCACAGTCCACAGATCTGTTAACTAAGGTCTATGCTAATTACTAACTCGTAAATTTGAATTTTAATCAATTACTATATTAATTATCATATATTGGACAATTAGATTCCCAGAGAATATAAATTTGGTGACCTTAAAGACCATAAGAGGATAATCATACCCATGAAATATTTTAATCAAAATTTAATTTCTATGCAAAAAATAAAAAATCTAAAATGAGGTTTCAAAGATTAAATAAATTGAGAAAAACAAAAACATAATTATGTATGCACGTTCAAAATACAATACATTTTGTATTAAAAAACATTAAATTTCAACATTATATAAAACAGCTGTATATATTGTATTATGTAATATGTATATATTTTTATTATGTATATAATATTATTTGAATAATATATTGTATTTTAGATTGTGAGTGAAGTGCTTTTACAATGATATTATGTTTTTTAATTATTTTTTTTGGGAAACACTTGAATAAAAATACTTTTACAAAAGTTTTGACTCGTACTTTTTTTATTATATGTTTGTATTACTATTTTTATAGTGTATTTTATTGGTATCTATTTATTTCCTATTACCTGCATTATCAAATATCAGTGTTAATAAAAAACATTTTAAAAAAAACGGCTTTTTTTAAATATGAATTTTTCAACCTTTTTAAACATATAAAAAATAAAAATTGATTAATTTAAAATTATTTAAATGAGACTATTTTCTTGTTGACATTCATATCGTATATTTGACGTCAATAGTTGGTCTAGTTTCAGCAATTTGTTGTTCGCAAAAATAAAATTACAATTAAGGTATAAGTTATACAAAAACTCCATTAAAATATGTTGCCTTAGATCGACTTTAGATGATTTTAGTGTCATGTAAGTGCTAAAATACTAATAATAATAGAATTGAAGGTGAATAACATCTTGCAGAAAATGACATTCCTATTTTAAAGAATATTTATTTTAAAATTGTATTATCTGATGTAAGAATTTTTTAAACAGTTGTAACTTTTCCTTGTACTTTTTTGAAAAGCTGTACATCATTATCTCCAAAATATTGTTTTCATTCAATTATGTAACCTGTTTTTCCTCTAAAAACTTCTATAATAGAATGAGTAACACTATTCTTCATTGGTACACTTTTATACGAATACTAATATACCTAGTTAACCAAACCAAAATAAATAAAAAAATATATGTCTTTAATTGAGCACGATAAATTGTATTTCATTGTTATATTTTAACAATGCAACAGAAATAACATTAAAAATAAATATTTGTATTTAGTTACTATAAAGTTAAAAGTTATTTGTGACATAGTTTTTTAATTAGGTACATCTTATTTTTATTATTATTTATATCTTATTCTAGTTTCCAATGATTTTTATAAATATCAAGTAATTTTTGTACAGTATCACGGTCTGTAACATAAATGGGGGCTTCTTTATAAATTGAATGCAATTTTGTATTATTTTTATTTGGATATTGTTTCACTTCCTTTGCTGATCCGTGAAATTCGTGTGCTAATGTAGTGCCGAGGATATCTTTAAGATTTTCAACTTGAATACCAGCTCCAGGCATTATAATTAAACGATCTTTCATGGTTTCAATCAAAGCTTTAATTAACCGTTGTCCATCAACTGCTACAGGACTTCTACCACTGGTTAGTAAGCGTTTAAAACCCAAATCGGCTATTTTTTGTGCCATTTCGATTGGATCTTGTGTAGCTACGTCAAATGCACGATGGAATGTAACAGGTAATGGTTGAGCCGTTAAAATTACTGAAACACAAGCATCAATATCAATACAACCAGTTGAAGTAAGAGCACCAAATACGAATCCATCAGCTCCAGCATTTTTGAATAAAGTACAATCTTCAAGAATAACTCTAATTTCTAAATCTGAATATTGGAAATCATAACCACACCTTGGTCTAAGCATAACAAAAATAGGAATTGAAACCATGGTTTTTAACGTTTTTAAAAGTCCCAATGATGGTGTCAATCCTCCTTCACTTAGTGCACTGCATAGCTCCAATCTATGAGCTCCTCCATTAACCGCATTAATAGCAGATTCCACACTATCAACACAGATCTCCATTTGATCTGAAAATAAAAAGCATTTACAAAACATTATACATACTATGATAATCTCATACATTTAGTAGATACTTAAGAATTTAGATTAAATTAAAAATGTAATACTGATAAATATTTGTAACAATATAACACATTAAATGTGTGTGTGTGAACTCATCTTAAATCTATCTATAAATAGATCAAGACACCTGACTAAGAAAACACCATACATTTGTGGTCTCCATCTTAAAAACATAGCAAATGTGCATCCATTAAAACTAATTTTAAGTTATTAGCTTTAATATTAGAGTAAATTGAACTAAAATCAAATTTAAAAGTAAGAATATTATTTAAGGCATATTTTAGGTTTTTATTTTGACTATTACATAGTTATTACCCAATTTTATAACTAATATAAAGCCTAAGCAATGTCTTAGATCAGTGGTTCCCAACCTTTTAGTTCTACAACCTCCCATCGTACATTTTCAAAAATCATGCCCACCTACTATAGATTATAGAGATTAGATAATTTTAGTGATACAAAATAACTATATATTATTATTTATTGTTTATTGTTTTACAGACGAACCATTTTTTATAAATGGTTGACATAATTACAATTAAAATATGGTACACAACAGTATTAACATAGAATTTTAAACTACAGAAAAGGGGTCCAAATTGTCTGCACGCAATAATCTACAGATTGATTCATTTAAATATAATTGGTGGAGAATGTAGGAATCTGAAATGGAACATGTGAACAGGTTTGGCAAAAAGGAACTTTAAAATTAATAAGTGATAAAAGAGTTGTTGAGTCGATCGCGCTAGACAGCATACCTTTAATAAATATCAGATTTGCATAACGACAATGATCGGCCAACGAGGTAAGATTAAGCTGGTTTGCAACAAGAGAGTAGTCGGATTCTGCATGAGGTATCCTCAAGGTGTAGGTACCCTGTAAATCTCAGAAATTTAAGCTGTGCCCTTTCCAGTTGGTTAGAGTAACAAGAGTTATATGGATCCCTGATACGTTTTTGGTTATAGGCTATTACATTGCATAAATCACCTAAAAAAAAATCTATGATTATTGCTGACCACATATTTTGTCACAATTTAATAAAGTAATACATTTTAACTACATAGTACATACCTACCTATAAGTAGACTAGTACAATAGTACTTGATATTACACAAGCATACAGTCAATTAAGACAAATAAACCTCTTATTATAATTTATAACTCATAATAATATGCAGTATAGTACTATAAAATCTAAATTTAATGTGTACATTATCTACCCAAATATTTCTACACACATTATGTTGGTGAAATGGTGAAAAAGTTTAGAATTGAAAAACACAATATAATTTTCAATACATTTTGCTTTGAACTAGACAAACAAATTGAAGCTTACAAGTTTGTTTCAGTCAATTTTTTATTTGTTACAAATACAGTTGTGTATTCCAATTGTTGTCTCAACTTATCAAGAAAAGGATATTGAACTAAGTATTAAGAACTTTATAGTTTATATTGACATATAAGAAAGATGAAGATATATTTTATTAATTGCATAAAAAAATAAAACAGTTTCAAGAGTATTTTTTCTTTTGCAGTCATGCAGACCATCAATGAAAGACTAACATTTTAGTATAGTTGATTTTTGGAAATGGTTTATTAAAAATTAATTGACTGATGTCTTTCCATATTCATGTATTGCACTTAAAATGTATTTAACTTTGCCCAAGTTCAAACCATTCAGCAGAAAGAACTTTTTTTAAAACTCAATAGTCAAGTATAATTACAGATTACAGATCAACATTAAACCAAGAAAATTTGACTACGCTTATGATACTGGCTTCTGAAAATTATATTCTTCGAACAATAAATAAAGAAATAACTATTAAAGGATTTTGTCAAACAAAAGCGAGGAAAAAAGCTTGTAAATAATAATTTATAAATAAAGTGATACATTATTCATTATTTATTGCTGTACGATGTACCTAGGTATATAATATATTTATTAAATAGATATTGATTTAGCCGCATTAAAAGCAGCCTATAAAAATACATTTATAGAGTAGGTAGAAATTTAAAATTTAAAATAAAAAAATATTGAGCATATATTTACTTTTTCTATACTTAACATTTTAAGTGGTAAATTCATTTTGAAAAGTTGTGTACCAAATTGATCTGATTAAAATTAGAATTTAGAAAAAATTGTTTATAATAGCAACCCAACAGTAGGTTAAGGTACAGTGGCGTTCATTTGCCACATATGCACGACCACATTAGACATCTAATGTAGGTATATAATTATCATTTTGAGGTATGACTTACTTTTAAGTAATAGTAATTAAATTTAAACAGGTAACAATATTAATCAGCACATTTAGATAAATTTGTAAACACAATAATGATTGAATGTTGAAACACCACAGTAAAATATAAGCATAAGACTAAAAAGTGTGATGTGTACAATTTGCCACAAGTAATGACTAATGAGTACTGAATACTGATAAATTAACAATAACTAACACCAATTAATAAAATTAATAGGTAACTATTAATAATAAATTGTAACATAATAAATAATAATATTATAATAATTAATAACAACTAACTGATAAGGGATAAGCTGATAAGTGGTAAGTGATAACTGACAAATAACAAATTATCGTTGTAGGTGTACTGTGATTGTGACTATATAGCTGAAATAGAGCAAGACGCTCTCACGGTCAGGGGCGGAGTGGGAACCAAATCCAGGCCGGGAGTTTAAAATTTATCCAGGCCACCCACCAAATTTTTTGTTTCTCGCTAGGCTCGAATTTGGTTTTTATATTTGCCTATTCCAAAATTGCTTTCAGTATTAGAAAAGTATTTCAATCACTATCTTGCTATTTCTTTTAACTTCTGTCTTCTAACACATTGTATTAATATACCACTAAGTACTAATATACCTGAAAGTCCGAAAACATTATCACAATCTTGAATCTATAGAGATTTTAGATTCTAAATTATTACTGTTTGATGTTTGATCTGAAAAAAGTTAAATTAAATTAATACAAGTACATTTTATTCAAAATATTGAAATATAAGAGCAAGATAAATTATCAATGAGGAAATGCACTAGGCAAATTAATTACATTTATTATAAATGTGTTGGAAATTCTTATATATTTTCTTAATTTTATTTATGAGCAATTTAAATAATAATAAATTGTTCAATTTTTCTTTAAAATTAAAAATAATCCCAACATAAGTCATAACTAGTAGGTAAACTAGAACATTTAACTAAATAGTAAATAAAATACTTTTAAGGTACACAAAATTACTTAAAAGAAAAAACGTGGATACACCATAAACGACACCGTCGACACACTCAACACCAGTGACCAGGGGACAAATATCAAACACTAATGACTAATTTGTTTGGGTTTATTACAGATATTATTTATAAAAATAACAATGACCAAAGTAAAGTGACCAATAATACAAAATTAATATGTATTAATGTATTACCATTGATTTTTATAAAATATACAAAGTACTTAGACATTAGTAGTACTTATAATCAATGGTATTATTAGTTATTATTAGCCGTTTGGCATTGCTATATTCGTCGCCACTCAACAGCCCTACAGGGTACAAATAAACAACTTGCAGGTTTCAACATGTGGAAATGCGTCGAATCAGTAATTTATAATAGAAGGTAATTAGTTCTGTTGGATTGAACCGAGACCACACACTATCTGGGTGTTTTTTTATAAAAATAATCGACTTATATAAATATTATATTGCTTTGATTTTATTTGATATCTATATTTATGTACCAAATATTTTGTAATTTTATATCCAAAGATTTCCATAAGAGTATACGATTGTACGAGGCTTTTACAATTTACTATTATTTCATTAATAATATTTGTACCTAATACAATAATTTAATAGAAACAAATTTTTGATGCATTTAGCATTAACTAATATTTTGTAAATTAATTTAAATTAAAAAAAAAAATCTAACAAAATTTCCAGGCCACCAGGCCATAGTATGGTCCAGGCCATCTGGAAAATTCCCACTCGATTTCTCATGTAGCGATTTCCTTATTTTGTTGTTATTCATAAACGAATAACTATAGATACATGAAAATTTCAAAGGCATTTTTGTTAGCATTTCCTATACACCATACAATTTTGAAAATATTTTGACTCTTTTTGAGCTGTTTACGGATATTTTCATTTTTCAATTTTTTTAGTTTTTTTTTCTATGAATATCAATAAAGTTTTATCTGTTGGGCCAAAAAATGTAAAAATGTAATACAAGGCTCCTGATATATTGTTACAATATCAGTTGAAAAATATTAAAAATACATAGGCACAATTTTTTTTTTATAAGCATTTAAACATCGAATTTTAACAGAATTTTTCAAAATCTCGAAATTTATTAATCATCGTAATTATTAATAAGTTATAAAATGTTCAGTTTTTATAGCTAAGGATTGAAAATTTAAAACAAGATTCCACGTAAGTAGTTAATTCTCTTACCAAAAAATCTAAAAAATATACAATCACAGTTTATTTTTATAGTCATTTTATGTTCAAATTTGGACGAAATTACATATTAAAAAATCTAGTTATTTTGTTGTGATTATATAATATTATTCGTGGGTACCTACTTGAAACTTCTAAAGTGTACTATTATATATCTATGATAGTATCAGGGTTTGTTATTGATGTTGATGTATAACGTGTTATAAGTACCTAATGGATATTGTGATAATGTGATATGATTAATTTGGAATTTATTATAGGTCAATTTTTTTTAATACCATAGATATGTATATAATTTGTCTTAAACCTAGACTGACATACCGTCTTCGCTCTGAATCGTTTTTCTTATACAATGATATTATATCATTGAATTCAAATTTAATAGCATTCATTATACAGTGACCCACTTGTAACCTACTGTACAGCAGAGCGACATCCACTTACCCACCTTTTTTTAATTGTACTTTGCA